AATAAAGCAAATGCCTTTAATGCAAGAGTATTTATTTCATCTGTCTCTGTTTCAGGCATGAACGGTGACAATACAGATTCTCAGAAGCTGAATAAAATTATTTCAGAAATACAGGCTTTACAGGAGGTCGTGGCTAGATTTAGACAACTTCGGCTGGATGCTACTGAATTTGCCTGTCTCAAATGCATTGTCACTTTCAAAGCTGGTAAGTAGCAATAATCGCTTGCTTTTCTGCTCTGATAAATATAAGCTGGCTACATTAAAGCAAGATAAAAAAAGGGGGGAAAAAAGAGATATTTCAGATCAGACATGGGGTTATATCATCCAACAAGTTTCCTGGTATTGAATTCCGACAGTCAGCAGCATGTTTTGAAAGGCGAGCGAGAAGAGCGTGGGGGGGAACCAAAGGGAACGTTGTATTTCCACGGATTAGCCCCGTGGTGAGCCATGCAGGAGTCAGGCTGACCTGGTCCCCGCTCTGCCTTGCAGTGCCTACACACAGTGGCTCCGAGCTGAGGAGTTTTCGGAACGCGGCCGCGATCGCAGCCCTGCAAGACGAAGCCCAGCTCACTCTGAACAGCTACATTCACACCAGGTGATGACACCAGTGTCTTCTCCACGCGCTTCTTGCAGGCACGGGGCTGTAAAACCTCATTCGCACTGTAGGGAAGGGGATGTGTCTGTTGACTGAAACGGGGACAGGCTTTGGCAGCCACTGCAAAGTGGGTGTCTGGTGGGATTGGGCACCTCCTAATGGGGGGAGGAACGTGGGATTTATTCAGACAAATGAAAAACTGCAAAAGGGAAAGACTTCCCCTAGAAAGCATACCTTTCGAGGAACATTTTGCAGAAGACCAARTTTTCTCCTCTATCTGATTGAATCAAGCAGTGTTAATAGTGACAGTCAAAGCAAATTCACCTATTCACCATCAACATTGTTTGTCACTCAAAAACTCCAAAGCTTCCTGGGGTCATTCGCCTCACTTTTGCAGGCGAAGCAACAGAGACACAAGGAGGTTAAATTGCCCCTTCAGAACTCAGTACACTGAGTCTGTTCCCAGGTTGAAATGGAAAATCCAGGACTTGCGGCTCCCATGTTGCTGCTGCAGCACAGTGGTGAGAATTACTGTTTAGGAAGGAAAAAAAATCACTCATTCCAGACAAGCCCTATGAGATATGGAAGTCCTAACACCCTCCATAAAAACGATAGCTCTCATCCCACAAACTGTACAAGGGTAAAACCAAAAATGAACTATGGATAAAGCTATGGATGTATAAACAAAGTTTAAGAACAACAGTATCTGCCCATCTTTGGGTGTCGAAGCTCCTGCAGCTTTTCTGGCCAGGTGGAGAACCCAGCTCTGCTGATTAGACTGCTGTTAACTCCAGCGAGATAAAGCTTTCAGCCTGGGTTTAGTTCTCATACTTGAGTTTACCTTCATGCCAGTGTTATCTTTTTATGAGTACTTTTTTATTTACATTTATGTACATTTTATTATACTCTCTCAAGAAGCCCTTACAGGATGTAAGGGAGGGCAGACAGGGGAAGCAGAAGGTTTTTCCAATGGGCCTACCCCTTTCTTACAAGGACCACTGTAACTCAGTGGTTTGAGAATGACACGAATGTAAAGCTGATATAAGCACAAATATTCTCTTACACAAATACATTATCTAATAAATATGTCATCTTATATACAACTTTTTTATTAAAAAAAAATCCTCATCAAATATCAATTGCTTTTAAAGGCATAAAGCTACAGAAACAGGGTAAAATGATTACCATGACAAGCTAGTCAGGTTAAAATTGTCATTTAAATATGAGGGTATTCATTTGGGGTCAAGCTCTCCCCTGAACCACCTCAAGCACATAGCTGCTGCCCAAGGGACAGGCCTCAGCACCTCTGTCTATTCCTGCTCTGCAGGAATAAACAAGGAGCCCAGTTCCAACTCAAAGACACTGGTCTGAAGTCCAACCCTGACCAAGACCGATTGCCTTAGGGTCAGCCTTCTTGCCCACAAGAAGCAGAGTTTTATCACAGGTGGCATCTGTTCTGCTCAATCTCTTATTCTATCAAGTAGAGGATTGTATTTTGAAAAACAAAATGCCTGAAGATTTCAGTAACACGTCGTCTTTGTCTCCCAGGTACCCCACACAGCCCTGCCGTTTTGGGAAACTTTTATTGCTTTTACCAGCTTTACGTTCCATTAGTCCATCTACAATAGAAGAAGTATTTTTCAAAAAGACCATCGGGAATGTACCAATTACAAGACTGCTTTCAGATATGTACAAATCCAGTGACATATAAATTACCTTAAAAAAGAAACACAATCAGGATGGACAGTTTGAGAAGAACTCTTATCTATGGAAAATAAGCCTCAACTAACAAAATCTACAGGAAGCATAAGCCTGGGAATGTTTAGCCTTTAAACTCATTGACAAAAAAATACCCCAGTAGATATGATTCTGCTGCTCTGAACAGAGGGATTTAGATCATGGAGAGAATGCTTTGTTCTACAGAAAAAAAAAAAAAGTAAAAGTGGTTGGAATTTGGCTGCTTTTCCTGTTACTAGAGGATGGAGGCAATTCAGATGCCAGCCACAGTTAACAAAGACTCCGCTATTCTCTCATCTAACTGGCAGATCCGAGACAAAACGTGAAAGAAGGTGCTCTAGTATGTTCAGTTCTTGCAACTGGGGGACCAAACTTGGCTCCTGAGGTAACAAGAGAGGTGGTGGCCTTCAGGACTGTTCTAAAAGTAGCCTGTGTTGGTAAAGTGTTTTCAGTATGATAGGCGACATTTAAGCCCAGGTTACCAAAACACTGCTCCTGCTGTAATACATCATGAAGTGGCCTTCAGAACTGATTTAAAAAGTAGCTTATGACGGCAGTTCCATTCTTCCTGTGAAACGAGCTGGTGATTTTTGGTGCAGATGGCACCAGAATTTGTTTGGTTAACATCTCAGAGACAGAAGAGCTTTACACACCTCCTCTCCCCCTCTTCCCTCCATCTTCATCCTCCCCCACGTGCATTCACAGCCCCCACACCCCGCTCTGAAAAGAGTACAGAGTCAAGCAAGGAAGACTAAAACAGCAAAACCAAATAAAATGGAGATGACCGCTTCAGTGACCTGCTCGCTGTCCCGCTGGCATAGTGCTGAAACCAAAGGCAACGGTGGCCAAACTCTTTGTCGATGAGATGTGCAAAAAAAAACGGAAAAAAAAAAAGTGAAATGACTATATATATATATAAAAAAGAAAGGAATTTTATTTCGAAGAAACAAAGGTGGCTGACTGATACAACGCTAACAATTTCCAAAAGTCTCCAATGCCTTTTTTAGCAAACTCCAGGTTCTAATTTTGAAGCCTTGTTCACCTACGCCCTCTCACACACAAAAACGTTATAAGCTGCTTACTTGATGTATGAAAAAATGTAGGAAAAAAACATTTAAAGATAGCTGCTGTACTTTTCAAATTTTGATTTGTTATTAGAAACTAGCACTGAGAAAAATCAGCACTTGGACTATCATAGAATGAGTAAAACTTTTCCTGTACAAAGTGGATTAACTGATTTGTGAAGTTAAAAAAGTTGTACTCATTGTATTTACAAAGAATAAAAATATATTGAATTTAAACTGTTTTCCACTGCTCTTTTAACACTTTGTCTATTTCTGGATTCATTTCTTCCAGCGTACTCTGTTTACCAGAGAACAGAAATAGTCTCTATAAGAAGAGATGGGTTTGAATGCTGTGGAGTTGGCACCATCAGAGGCTTCCAAGGACAGGTTAGACAAACATTCATGGCATAGCTTCTCTACAGGTGATCCTGCCTTGGAGCAAAGSGCCCCAGAGCTGTTCTTGGTAATTCAAATAGGCATTTACTGCACCTTCCTAACATCACTGTCTGAAGGAGCATACCTAGAGCTTTTCGTAGGACACAGTACTAAATGGATCAGAGATCTAACCTAGTGTAAGTCTGCTGTTTGCTTTGTTGTGATAGCTGTAAATATCCACGAATTGTGCAGCTAACAAAGGGTGATAGACGCAAAGCCAGTTTCCAACCAAAAAGATTCTGAGGTTTTATTAAGTTGTCCAACTGCATAATCAAACCAAAGAAAGGAGTAAGCAGCTCCCAGGGCACCAAAAGAAGTCGGCGCTAGAAGGAAAACATTACACGTGGTCTGTCTGGCAATGAGTGACCAAGGAGCACACACGTTCAAGTGACAAGTGGACACGTACAGCGGGTAGCGATGGCTCCGGAGCAGCATCAAGGAACACTGAGCACGGGTGAAATCCTTGCTCCGGTGACTCCGGCACAAAACGCTCCTAGGCTTCGGGGCTTTAAGTTTTCTCTCCATCTCTCTCCAGTCACTCACGCTGCTGCCCCACATTCCATACTTTCCAAGGCAGTCAGATCGTGGCRTAAACGAGACCAGTCTTTGGGTGAATAAGGTGACACCAAGGRTGGACTGAAGGACTTTGAAATACCTTCCATACAAACTAGCACGGAGGGCTCAAGAGTGCGCTTGCCGTGGGACACGGTGAATCCCATCCTTAAATGCTGCCTTCAAATCAACAATTTACAAAGCCTTCTTTGCCCTACTTGTAATAATCTTTGACTAGTGTTTTTTTTTCTCTGTATGAAAGGACAGAAGAATCAATTGGAGCTCCCTAAGTGTTTCTGACTACTCAGTTTATGATAGAAGAAGGTTGAATCCACTGCTCTGCAGAACCCCTGACAAAACACTGGTTTTGACAAGACTCACGCTGCTGTCTTGCAGCAGCRACTCACAAACAGCATCTGAACAGTGGTGCAACAGCAGCCTGCAGGGCAGTCCTGCTCCCTAGACCAGTGAGACCAAGAAATGCAACAGGACATGCGAGACTCCTGCCAGCTGCAAAGCAGACAGGGTGCAGAGCCACATCTCATCCTGCCACATGCAGGATCTAGGGGACACTTCCCTGCAGTGGAGCTGATCTCAGGCCCTACCCTTTTGCCCAGAAGAGCAGATTGCAGTGCAAGCCGCGCTATGCTATAATTAGGCTCTCTAGTCAGCCTTAAAGGACTGACACCCAAGTGAAACCTTAGAGACCAGTTCAGATGTCCCCTGCAGAGCCTGATCCTGCCAGCTCCAGCAGGTAACACGCCAGAGTCCTCACTAGACATCCGAGAGGGGAAAAGGAGAATCTGCCAAGAACACACCAGCTATGCAGCACTCTCCCTTCAGTCTTCCTTTCTCCAGAGTAGGTCATAGGGAGGGATTGTGTCATCCTTTAGGCATAACACGCAGCACTGGCTGTGTGCTTTCTCACAGAAAGGAATAGCTGGAGGCAGAGGAAAAAAAAAAAAAAAAAAAGCCCCTGCTATGCATCTGAGACTAAGCAAAGAAACATTACACATATCTATAACTTCTTCCCCTATTTCCATAATTAATTCCATTTCTAAATGTAATTCAAACAGACAATTCTAGAATTGATTATTTTGCAGCACAGAAAGCTTCTTGAAAGCTAGACCTGAACAGCTGGGTGTTAAAATAATTGCTTCCTCATCATACTCAGCAGAGCAAGAACTTTGTTGAATCTCATTCATGAAACCAGGGACCAAAACTGGCACAGCAACTTTGCAACTCACCGCTTTGCCACCAGCCCAGTATATTAATTTCCCATTCCAAAATTCAAGAATAAATATATTGCCTTTGGTTAGAAGAAACAGAGCCCACAGACCTGTTGTTTTATTTTAGCTAGTAGGCTTGAAGACAACATCCACTGCTACCCTGTACAATCCAGTCAAGTACCAGTGTTTTGTCAGTYGGGCCTTTTACATCCAGATTTGTGTACAAAGGGCCTGGGGGAAGTTCAACATGAGGTTAATGGTCTCATCTAAAGAACATAAGGATTGTGCTAGTAAATTTGTAAGACTTTATAAAGCGATAGGAAGCACACCAAAAACAAAAAAGTGACAGAAACAAGGCTAAGCCAACATACATTAAGAAAGGTGGTTTAGAACATGCACTGTTATGAAGGGAAGAGAATGCCCAGATCAGCTGGCYGCAAGAGTTCTTGAAATGCTTCTCAAGAGGATCTAGACAGGTAACACACGTCACATCTGAGAGCACCAAGGAAGCATCTCCAGCTCTGGGAGGATGCAGAGAGGAGGACAACCTCAGCAATGCTCGCTTGTGCACAGGAGATTAAGGTTGAAACGCAGGTTGTAAACTTTATGCTAATCTTCTACCTGTCTCATATGACTCCATATCYTTATCTGGCATTCCTAGAGCACAGCTACCTTGATCTTCAGCTGTAGGACTGAAGAGTAACATGAACAATATCTACAAAAATGATACTCCTTCCTCTGCAGCACAGCTAAAGCCAGATTGATGCTTCTCACTCCAGCTACAAAGGTACCTCACCTTGAAGCTCYTATTGAGGCCACAATCCGACAACTGCCTAGCATGATTTGGGCTCCAGCTTTAGCACTGCAACACAGGAATGATCTGCAAGTCCTACRTGTTCTGTAAGACCTGAGCAGCAAGCGTCAGCATCTTCATATTTAGTGCTGGCTGGTAGTGGCACAAGCCTACATCGCAGAAGGGCATCCCAGCAAGGCTGAAAGAGCATCTCAGCGCAGCCAAATCCCTGCTTCTCAGAAAGCAGGGGATACATCACACTGAAGGTCAAGAGTGACAAACATTTCAAGTGCATTTTCACTTTTATTTCAAAACTTTAGACAAGTTATTTTAGTATATAAATCTGATTTTTTCCCTCTTACAGAATATAAAGATAATTCCCTCATTACCTCAGTATAAAGTGTTTTACAAGCATGAAGACAATTGCATAAGTGTTTCTCATACAGGGTATCTGAATGAAAGCAATCTTTCTACAGAAGTTCAGACAGATGACTACCTCAGAAAGAGCAAAGCAGTTTAGTCATATACAAGTGCACACGTGACACTACAACTGTGCAAGTTCAAGTAAGGCCAAGTCAGTAAACATTGTTAAGTCATTGCAAATAAGGGTGGAAAGGCTTGTGAGACATTGTAAGGGGCGGATGGTCTCAGTTTAATACTCTTAAATCAAGAATTCAGAAGGATTCAGCTAAAAGACAAGTGAGTTCTTTAATGCTATAAAGCATATGCAAAGACCAAGCAGTGTACTGATGTTAGTGGAGGCTTTGTGCCTGTTTATCCTCAGCATGCTAAGACAAACTACAACCTCTTAAAACCAAGCATAACAACCACTAACATGAGAAGATGGTTTCAGAACTCAAGTATGTCTTATTTTGGATGGTGTGTAGTTTTTGTCTATTACTTCATCTTGCAAGAACATGTGAAGACAGCGCTCGTTCTGTGCCAGGGGATGACCAGCAACCCTGGAGAGGAAGAAAAAACACATTAGTGTTAAGATATCAAGTCTACCTGAAGTTAGGTTATAGTTACAAAGTTCTGACTAGGGATCTAGATTTTGGTGTATGTCCCACTTGGTCTACTGCTGGTGACTGCAGTGATGTCTGGCAGCAGGACTCGCTGCTCTTCTCTCCAGGATGATACCAGCACACAGGAACTCTCATTAGAGGGCACGACACATTAGCACCTGCCACCGAGCAGACTATCAGGGTGCCCAGCCCAGCACTAGGATACCTAGAGTTAAACGCAGACAAGTTCAGATCTCTCCTTCTCGTTGCTTTTGCTGCAGGACACGTTCCCAGAAAGCAGCTCTCCCTACCAGCTCCACCTCATTCAGCAGCCTTCGGCACTTGCCCCACCACTTGGCACCCACACCAAGCTCAGCTCCTCTAGAAGGCAACGCTTCTAACACTAAATTCACTACCTTATTAAACTATTGCTTCTGACAAACGCTAACACAGATTTACTTTTGCTCCRCATATAGACTCGAGGCACTGCCTTTTCTCCAGCAGGCTGGTGGAAATTAAAGGATGCTGCCAATCTTTTAAGAGAGACCAGGCATTACGTTCAGTCCCTTAAAACATCTAGCAGATTGCTGACAGCCTCCAAATTTAAAAGTGAATTTACATTCCCAATACTAAGTGCCTGCAAGTTGGGCACTTATGGATAAAGACACCTGCAATGAAGAGCATGTAACAGTCAACTCCAGTGGCTCAGCATCAGTACTTCCAGGCGCTTCTGTGCCCCTCTTCCACACATACCTATCTTGGGGTGAAGTAAAAGCCAACAAAAGATTGATTTGTCATCACTTCTTCTCCTTGAGCATGTCCTTTAGTCAGAAMTGGTCTTCTGCTACTCAATATTGACAGGTTTTGGTAAATGGACAGGAGTCTCAAACTCTAGTTCAAAGACAGACCTGAGTAGCTGTTTTTTTTCTTAGCCTCATTAGCCCAAGCTTTTTGGCCTTKAACTTCAGGAGGCAACAGCAATTTCCCTTCCCCTTTTACAAGGGCTTGAGAAAATCAGTGGCYGATTTGCTAGACTAGGGTCTGACACAGGTCTTTGTTTCCTGTATCTTACTCCCCATTGGAGGAATTTGGAGCTATGATGATCATTATAAATAGCAGCTGCTACCTCCAACATCTCTGTCTCCAGAAGTCAGATTCAGGCGGACAAGACTTTTACAACAGAGCTTTCCTTAAACAGCAGTGTTAACAGCAAGCTGGCCCAGGAGAGCTCACTCCAGTAAGCTGCTCTGCTAGTGGTGAATCCCTCTAGACTCCACACCTTGAGACAGAGCCTAACACCACCCCCTTTTGAGCCCCTAGATATCCAAGACTAGCAGCAGCACCAGCCCTTCTTTGGCTACACTGGCACATCAGTTATTTGAGGGCTGCTTCTCTAGTTTTGGGACTGCACATCACCACACTTTCAGAATGCAGCAATATGAATCTCTTACAGTGAGATTCAGTAGTCCTGAAGGGAATTTGCTTGTTAACACCCAGAATATTTTKCAGAAACCCTAAACCTTCCACATTACTAATTCAAGCTTTGAATTATATTTGCTTGATAAGAGTTGGTCCATTAGCACATGTTGATGAGGCTGGACAGCTAGAAGCCTTGCTAGCAGCAGCTTTGCCTGAGGAGCTTTCTTCCAACTCTACTTGAGCTCGTCACTACATCCACATCTGTATCAGTCTCCTATCTTCCAAAGAAAAAAAAGTTGACTGAAGTTTTATGCTTTTGGRAGACATATATTGCTAGCTACAAGACTCAAAAAGCAACGCCAATAAAATGCTCATTACGTTTCTGTTATACAGACCTTTTTAAAATGATTCTGGTTAGACTGTTTCACTACTGGTTCCTCCAGACCTTACAGTCCCCTTCCCCACCCATACTGCTTGGCTTGGAATACAAAGCTTTCAATAAGTGCATTYCTTCCAGATTTAATAGAGTTCCAAGTCTGCATTGATAAGAGGGCTTAAATTTTACTTTCAAGTAAATGTAAAGTCATGTACCATGACTWTACACACTTAAGAGAACACCATGTTTTACTATAAGCATGTCTACCTTCATGTGGTCTAATAGACACCTTTGAATATTCAAGTAGAGGAAGTATCAGTCTTATTTTTGAGAGACATTTTATCTGCTCAGAATGGTTCAAAATACCTCTAAATTTAACTTCAAGAGTCATTACATGAAGAATAAGTGAAAAGATTAAATCTAGTCACACCTATACTTATGTTCTCTTACAAGAAGAGGATATCAGTTTTAGATTTTATTSTACAGTCACTTCTGCATCCCCAAATTGCATCTTTGAACAATAACTGACCAAACACCATATGTTACCAGATGAAGTTCTGGCTTAAATAAGGGCATCCAATGATTCTTCTAAAAAGCATGATAACTGAGCAAGACTAAAACACCACATCAAGCTTTGTCAGCTCCACCTTTTATAATACAGGGAGTCCAGAACCAAGTTGGTTTGAACACCACGTTGACTCCGGAGACCAGAAGAGCTGTGTGACTAATGGTCTCTAATGCTGTGAATCCAAGTACTGACTAGGAAGGAACTAAGTTAGCTCTTTGGGTTACTACATGGRGAGTGAACAGTGTGAGAGGTGGTAAAACAGCAGTCATTAAGACTGTTASTGTAACTTTGTTCATTCTTTGTAAGGCAGCGAGACAGCTGAAAGTGTCTATTTTAAGCAATATATAATGTATACCTCAAGCAGAGGTATATGCCTATACCTTCAGACTGGTTCTCATGATGATTAGAGGAAAATACACATCATTACACAAGCTGATAATACCTCCCATCTGCAATCAAAGTAAACTGCTGCAAGCCCATTGTAAGCCTCATTGTTCATCCAGTGGAGGACACCTTTTCAGAAATAAAAAAGTAGAACTATTTTGAATGCTATAATTTTAGTGGTAATTTGCATAAATTAACTGTAACACCAACATCCCTCACTTCAGCTGTTCAGGTAAGCATTAAGATTTCCACACCAAACACTGAGCAACATCAGCATGTTCTGATGCAAGATAGAAAACTTTTCATTATTCTGAAGCTATTGCTGCCACAGTTAGTGGACCAGCAGCTCCAAAATCATTTTTCAGAGTTGATCTGCCCATCTCCAGATGGACCCAACACTTACTTGTTTATGAACTGCTCAAGAGCCTGCTTCCTCTCCTCTATAAAGGAATCATCAAATATACCATCATCTCCTCGAAAGGGGAGCTGACGGAGAAGAGCTTTTCCTGGTAGGGGTGGTACCACAACCTGAAAAATTAAGAAATATTAGTAGAGTACTAGGCCTTAAGTACTTACAGTGTCCCCTCTCCCTCCTAGCATCCCAGCTTATCATTAACATTCCCAGTCAAAGAGGAAAAGAACAAAACAAAAACAAAACAAAAAAAACACCCACACACATGACCACCACAACAAAAACACATTACCAGAAAAGAACAATCCGTTCATAGGAGTAAGTCGAATTCAAGCAATTAAATTCAGAACAAAGTTGAGCAAYAGCCTCCAGCACTGTATATCCAGGTTCGTGGGAAGACTGGCACACACCTGGTTTCAGTTATGCAGGTTTTTGACACAACTTCTGTTTGAGATTGCGGTAGATAGGCTTTAACAGAGAAAACACTCTGATACTCTTCTTATATCCACACACTTGTATTTACTTTTGTTACCCACCTTGCTTTCTCTTTCTAGTTCATTCCTCAGCCATTCAAAGTCACTATATCTTCTTCTGACTGTAGATTCTTTCAGCTTGAAGATAGGAAGATTTGTCTGAAAAGAAACACAAGCTATTGATTAGATTTTGCTATGTAGAAGCAAGAAGCCAGCTATTAAGTCAAAGTTGCTCCACTGGAGCAGCAACACTCAGTATTAAGCAGCGTTCAAGATTTTAAAAAAAGGGTAAAGTTCTGTATACGTTATACAAGCAAGCCATGCCTTAAACTGCCTGTGGGCCCCTTATCTGGATCACAATTCTGGTCATTGATATGTGCCCTCCATATCACCTAGCAGAACAGATTAGCTGCCCACTCAAGGAAATGTTGCTAAGATTGCACAGGTATCTGACCTTACTCTCAAGAGAGAGATTCCTCATACTGATATACACACAACAGCAGGGGGAAGAAGTCTTCCTCTTCACACAAGACGCGTGCTGCATTTCCAGGTGCTATCACAGGACACTTGTCCATACTCTCCTGCTAGCTGATACCAGCAGGCCTGTGACATTTTTACAAAGAAACATCAGCAAGGGCTGCAGCCTCCACAGAGTTGGTATGGGGTACATTCAGCACCGKCAAAGCTGGAGATCCACTAGTACCAGCTGCCAGGTTTACCTAACTCTCCAGAAAAGCTTCTGGGGATGAGATTTCAGAGAGTAGTCAGTACAGATGAAACCAGGCAGCTTTACTGCAAAGCTAAGTCAAGCAGAGTTTGAGGCAGAACCTTCTCAACTAAGGTTTGCAATACATTCCCTTGAAACCCTAAGCATTAGTACCCAACTCTAACAGCCTTGAAACACACAGCAGACTAGTGAGGCTAAAACACAGCCYGGGCCACAAGCACTACAACAGGTGACCTCACACTAACTTTTATAGGGACCTATACTACTACTGTTGATTCTTGAAGTGGATTATGCTGTTACTCAACACCACTGCAAAAGCAGACTCAGAGCACCCCCCCTTGCCTTCCCAGCAGAAAAAGCTCCACGACCTCAGCAGCATTTAAAGCTTCAGCTTACTGTAACAGCCTAACCACTGCAAGAAAGTTGCTGTAGGAGCTGGGATCTGCTCCTGAAAGCAAGCCCCTGATTGCCATATGTAACTGGCAGCTATACAGTGGAGTTTACTGTTGTCAGACTGCRTAATCGCCAGCTCTGTCTTATGTGCCTCGTAGGAAGCTGATGTTCATAGAGGACTACCCTCATTCCTGCCTTTGCCAAGAGAAATACAGGCTAAGTGTGCTCAGCCAGCTTTTTTATTTCTAATAATGATTTATTCCACTCTTTCTGTTTTGTTTTTTGTCCTAGTTCAAGCGGCTRTCCCCATAAGCCATCACATATAGGCTGCTCCACTTAAGTTATTACCTGTGCAGCAGCCTTGCCTGCTCCAGGCAGTTTTAATTGCTAAGATGCATTCCTGCACTAGGCAGGCTTATAACTACAGGACATTATATTATTGCCATATATTATTGCCAGCTCAGAAGGAGCTTTTGACTGTCCCACAGTTCAAAACACTTGAGCAGTTCGTCCTGCACTCTCACATTAGACTATTTAGCCCATACGTGACAGATGATCAAGCACAAAACAGCACTTTGTTGTGAAAGCTGGTATCACTAAATGTTKGGGAGAACTCCCCAGCTCCTTCCCGGATACGGCATTGTTCATTGTACTAGCGACTAATAACAAAATTGCACTTAAGACTATTATGTCAGAAGTCAAGCTTTATAAACAAACACTTGGGGCTTGAGGATAAGAATATTCTACTTGAGGGAAAAAAAAGTTAGGTCCTCCAGAGCATATGAAGGAGATTCCCAGAAGTGAAGTATCAGATTATTTTTCTCTAGTTTCAGTCCCTGGCTTATAGCAAGTTCAGCTTTCTGCATTACACCATCAAGTCTTTGTCAGTGCCTCAGACAGCAAGTCCTTTATTTAGCTATATTTAACATGTAGGCTCTCACCTGCAGAGAATATTCCATTCTCCTCTCAAGTTACTTACAAGAGGGATTAAAACTGAATAAAAGCAGCTGAAAAACACGCACAAGAGCTCCCAAGTCTTCAGGAACTCTTTTCATAATTCTGGGCATGAAGTCTATAAAGTTAATCTCTAAACAAYGTAGGGTTTACAGGTACAATGTGGGGGTAGAAGTGCCAGCTGAGCTCACTTTACCTTCCACATTCCCTTTTGAACTCTTGACATGCCAAGCTGGAAGAGGGCGGTATTTGCTTCCTTTCAAAGTGACTTGCTTCAGTTTTGATCATAAGCACTGAAGACGTATGCTGGAAGGGTACCATTAAATCTAGTGATTTACAAGTCAGAGAACTTGATAATCAGTTGCTAAAGCAAAATCTGTCACTTCTCCTGTGGTCTGGATATGAATTTACATGATCAGCTCCAGCTTCTAATCCCTGGGTTTTTTTTTTTTTTTTTTAGAGCTCACAACTGCTGCAATTCCACTTTAGAAGCTAGTGTTGTTAACAGCCTTCAAATCCGCAGCTGTTTGAAAAGAGGTATTTTATTAGCAGTTTGAAAGTTGTACCTTAAAACTAAGGTGCAAACCACATTAATGCCCATTTTTAATTTAGGATCTATCCACACTTGGGGTTATTGCACATGCCCCTTTCACTAGACGTTGACCCTGTTTGAGCAGAAGATGCTCTCGTCCTGCGTCCCAGGCCTGACTTTCCGGGCTCTGAAGGCACATTGATCTGCCAAGGCTGCCACTAAGCTCAGCTCCAGCACGGTCACGGCTTGCTCCTCTGAGAAGTTCAGCACAATTACTCCAACTGCTTCCCCTATGGCATAATAATTAGTTTCATTTATATTAACACCAATTTTCTGCAACTTCAGACTGAAATCATGGTCATGGCTCTCCAGTAGTTTGAATGCACATCCTTAATCTATCAGGACTGCAGTGCATTATCCATGACACTCGACAAGCAAAGTCCCTSTTCAGAACTGCAGCTGAACCAAGGAGCTGATTCCAGGAGGATCGATAAACAGCTCTGCACAAATGCCCTGGACTCCAAAAYCCCGAGCCTACAAAGATTCTAGACGCAACAGATACTGCCTAGATACTGTTTCTGCTGCAACCCATTTATGTGTGTGCACAGACACATACACAATCTTTGCTGGCCCTCAAAGCCCATCAGGTTTATTCTGCTGGGGAGCTTTGACAAAGTCAACACGCTGCAGTAAGTGCTYGTCAGAACTGCCGCCAAGTTATGCGGTCGAACAGCAAGAGATGACAAATCCAGACCTTTCAGCCCTTCTGCATTCCTCTAGCCCAGCTGCCAAGCAGGTTGGCACAGTCTCAAGTGATTTGGCTATTGTTTAACAAACTAGTAAGGCAGAGTAGCAGTTGCCTAGTAATAGCTTTTTAGGGCAAAGCCTGCATTCCCAGATGCAAGTTTCCTCAGCTAGGGTTTACCCAGGAGAAGAGCCCCAGGTCAGCTCAGGAAGCTCTGAYCCACCTCAAAAACAAGGCCCAGTTCTAGGCCACGCAGTTGTCACTGTGCCTAACTCAAAAGCTGTACCCAGCCAGAAGCTGGAAGCTGATGGAGAAACTTTTATGCACACAAGGGAAGACTTCCACATTCAGAGTGCCAGTAGTTTATGGGTAAAAATCAGCAGCTTTGGAATTCATTCATCAGCAGCTTAAGTCAACTCACATACCAAAATGACTGCAATGTAGAGCGCAGGTAATTAAACAGGGCTATCAAATGACTTAAAATCAGGAACTAATCTACTATCTAGATTAGATAAATTTATCCACCAAGTAGGAAAAGCCTCTCAAGTAGCCAGACTTGCTCCTGCCAGTTTGCTTCCAGCTATAAATGGAGCCTGAACAGCATTTGGCTTCCTTCAGAGGGCAAGCTGACACATCAAGAGATGGACTCGGGAGGTCGCTGGAGCCCATCCCACCCCCATGGCTGCCAAAAACTTGGCAACTGCCTTGTCCAGGCTAGCATGAGCTGAGCTGGGCTTGTTTCCTCATCTGCCACCATAACGTTAATCAGCAGTGCTGCACTGCCCGTGCCTCCCACTCCCGGGTTGATAATAAAGCTGCACTGTTGCCATAGCATCTACTTTGATGTTGTCTTTGAGGAGGTTATGGTAGCCTTGATACAACTCTATTTCCATTAACATGGAGCAAAGGAAAAGCACCAGCGCGCTTCGGAGAGAAGTTTACGTGGCCTTGACTCTCAGAAGTTAAGCTCAGGCTTCTCACCATCTCTTCACCAGAGCCGTAATCTCAATCAGGAGATTATCCCCTTCAGCTACTGCCTTGACACACCAAGGAAACTGAGGATATTTATAACCCCAAGTTTTAAATAGTTTAAATAAATTTTAAGCTATAACCAGTATTACACAAGTTACCACTGCGCACTGGGTTACAGAAATGGGATCTTTTCCATCCTGAAGACTGAAGGACTCGCACCTTAGTAGCGGCTAAGGTCCAGACAAGAGTTAACCTGCATTAAGCCCAATGCCCACAGCAGACCTGAGCTGGTCTGTATAGAAGTCAGTGYAGAGCTATTAGCATTTTTGTCAAACAGGTCCTATTATCACTTGCTCACATTCACTGAGCAACTGAACTCTGGTATGCCGTGGTCAGGAGCCTCAAAGCAGGATAAAGAGCTAATCTAACAGGTCTAGAAAGAAGGGGAGGAAGATTTTGTTTAATGATTTCTTATTCTTCAAGACTCATCCTCAGAAGCCAAGGAGGGAGAGATAAGATAAAAAGTCTAGTTTAAACTGGACAGAGGCACTTCAGTGTCCCAAGAGGAGCAGCAACTCCAGCTAGTTATTTCAGGGTTAACCACCACTTCCTCACAATTGCATGGACATTCATATGCTCTGCTTTGACCTACTGTAAGGTCACCATTCATTTCCCCAGGGAAAACACTGAAGGAGGAGCAGCCAGCACCTTCATTACTAGTGCCAGCTACGGCCAAGTGCAGCAGACTGATCGCTCCGAACCGCTGCAACTGAGAACTTTGGCGGCCAATGACATTTTCATTTATTTCTAGGCTASAGACTGTGTGCTATTCATAC